GAGAGAGAGAGAGAGAGAGAGAGAGAGAGACCAATGCTTCATGTTTTCACAAAGACGCTCCAAAAGTCTGACCTATGATGTGTGTCTGTGACAGCGGCCAAGCTGGGTCGTCGGTCCCGTAAGATGAGAGACATCATCCGACACATCGAGGACACACAGACGGAGCAGGCGCTGCACGGGCTACTCAGCCTCAACGCCGACAACAACGCCGTGGTCTCTGAGGCCAAGCCGGGGGTAAGTGGACCAATTTGCTTGTTTGTCTGTCTGTATGGGTGTTATCTGTCTGGGCATCTGTTTGTTCACTCTGTATGAACGGTAGAAATTGTTTAATTAAGAAACAGCCTCCCATCGTCGAGGAGAAAAGTGTGCGTCTTAGACTGGTGGCCGTATCGCCCTGATGTCATTATTATATCTTGAAAAACGCAAAAGGGGAGGGGGAGAGAATGGCGAGTGACCGTTTTTACAGGTGATGTCGTATACAGGTGGCCTTTAGAGCAGGTTTGACTTAACTTTGTTAAGACGTGTACATCTAGCTATCTTATTGGAACATCGACAATATTACTTTACAGTGGGCACTGAGGCCACGTCTGGGGTGTGCCGATGGACGTATCTGTTTCCTTTCTGTCTGTACGTGTGTCTGTCTATGTATTTGAGTATTTATTGCGTGTGTATGGTGGACGTTTATCTGTCTGAACGTCTGGCTGTCGGCAAACACAAAGTAAGTACAGTGGTCTCTGAGGCCACGCGAGCCTGTCTGTCTGAGCATCTATCTGAGTATCTGTATTTGTTTATGTGAAGTGTATGCTTCCAAGGCAGTTGATATTGTTTCAGAATGTTAACAGGTCTGCGTGGGTAATATTACGTTGTAATTTAAAGGATAGGAAACTTGCTGTTGAGCAGGAACGAGGCCACGCCTTAAGTAAGTGGACGCATCTATCTGTTTGTCTGTTTGTGGTTATTTCGACGTGTGTTTCTGTCTGGCATCTAACCCAACTCACCCTATCTGTCCATGTTGTGCCTTCCACAGGCGCACAGCCCAGAGGAGCCCCCTCCATCACAGCAAGCCCCACCACCCCCGCCACACGCCTCCCAGCTGTCGCCGGCCCCCGCCGTTACCTCGGATCCAAATCCACAGATCTCCATGGCGGCGCTCTCTGTCCTACTCAAGCAGCGCTCGGCGGCGGGACAGCTGATTGGTCAACCCATGGTGGCAGACCACGCCCACCCTCACCCCGCCCACCACCCGGCGGCGGCGCTGGCGTTAGCGGTCAAGTCTGAGCTGGACCTGCGCACCCCGAGTTCCGCCGCCGCGGCAGCCGCTGCAGCTGCCGCTGACGCAGAGATGAAGAGCCGCATCATGAGCTTGATGCAGCAGGCGGCGGCTGAGCGCGCTATAGGGGGCGGGGCGGGGGGCGTGGCGCCCGAGGAGGAACAGCCTCTGATGCTGAAGGTGCAACGTAGCTCTCCATCCTCACAGCCTCTTGGCTCGCCAGGTGAGCTCTATCCCCATTTTATGGCTTAGGTTTTACGCCTCTGAAGATCTTGTTAGATTTTTCAAGAGGCCAGACCTCCATGTCTATATACACGTAGATTGGAAATCTCTTGAACATTGCCAGAACAACCAGAGATCAAGATTTCCCCTTCGGGATTTCAACCCAGGGTCATCTGTATCGTAGTCTAGCTTGATACGATGAGAGGTCCCAACGTGTATATGACTTGAAAGAAAGAGAAAAGTAAAATTATGTTTTTAATGTACACAGCGCACAAACAATTACAAATATTAGAGCCCGATTTCTTGGAGCCCTTGTAGTGCACCGTTATTTGAGCGAGCTGCTACTTCTTCTATATACTGTTTCTGTTGTCCCTGTCATTTTGTTCGGGGTGAAATATGGCTATTACTCTGCCCACAACGTATGAAATCCAAGGTAAAGCAACTTACTCAACCCATCGTCTTCTCCAGTATTCTGTCTATCTGGTGTTCTGAAAGCCGCCACTGATATGTCATATTTCTTAATATTTTTTTTGTTTCTATCTGTCTGTCAGGTGGGTGGTTGGCAGGTGCTCAAGTGTGGTTTGCTCATTTTCTCCTATCTAACATATTACTATTATCATGTCGTCCTTAAATCTCCTCCTTCTTTTCTGTGTTACTCTTTAGTAAATTATCTAATCTTCAGCACTTTTACGACATAATTGTGTTGCAAGTACCGTAAAACTCTTACTAAAAACTAAAGTAAAAGTGTAGATTTATCTATCTGTTATCGTGCCATCGACGGTCCTGTCTTGACCAACCC